TGTACAATTTGCTAATCAATCTTCTTTCATGCCAATCGATACCTGTTTCTTTCAGGATCTGCATTAATTTGGTCCAGTTTACCCGGTCAAATGCCTTCTGCCAGTCTATGAAGCAAACACACAGTTCTTCATCTATCTCCAAAGTTCGTTCCGCTATAATTCTCATCATCCCATTTGGTCCTTTCATAACTGAGACTAGTTTCACATTTGGTATCCATGGAAACAACAGAGTGACAAACTTACAAACACTACCCTGCTTAGATAAATTATATACAAATGTCTGCTGAAGGTTTCCTACAAATCTAGGAGCCCGAATAAAAGACTTACTGGCTAGGGTGAGAAATGTCTTTGTTATTAACATAAGGACAACTAGAACATCTACAAAGTGTAATGTTCATTGATGCCTGAAGCCGGTACTGTCCCAGGTTCATAACCGCTTATGTTCTTAAGTTCAGTTGTTTGTCTACCTACTACTTCCTCACAATGCCAATGCTCACTCACTGCACTTGCCTCTTTTTTCATCTTCTTTTTGCAATGAACTGAAGTGAACTGATATGTGCTCCACTTAGGGTTCCCAGATACCCTGTTTTCCCCGGATTCTTCCGCTTTTTCACCCAAATTTTGTTCCTCTGTTTATTGTTTACCCGAGTGGATAATTCTCCATTTTTTATTTAAGTCCATTGCGAATTATATTTCATGGGTTAAATATTATCATAAAATTTCTGTAATCCTTGGAAAATGACATTATTTTAAAGTTTCTTTCGTTATGTTGCATTTCATGAATGTTGGCAACACTTGAGGTTCTAAACCAAAGCAGAATATTTTTTGCATTCTATAATATGTAATAGGGCTACGTAATATTTGTTTTGTTCTATAAATGTGTAGTAGGCCTATGAGATACAGATGTGTAGTAGCATTTTGTAAGTTATGTAGTATGTTGATTATGTATATTTTATAGCTTATTAGTTGTGAAAAATGTTGTTATAAACAAGCAACGAGACATTACTCCTTTTCTTATTTTACAAAATCTGGCAACCCTAGCTCCACTCCACAACTGAACATACATCTGTCCTGCACTGCAACTGAACTGCCCTCTTTCAAGGTTTCCACAGCTACTTTACATGTGCCTCATTCTTTGGGAAATTTGTAGCAACACCTCATATACATTGGACTTCAGAGTCAGCTGAGTGGTTTCTTGATGGTATCAAAAGGTGTGAAAAGGGAGACTCTGTGTTTCAAATGAACTCCTGTATCCGAAAAACTCAACCCCAATGGATTAAGCAGGAACAAGTGAAAGGAACTACAGTAACATCCCTATTTCATGAAACCCTAGGGGAATGGCTTTTCTTACATCAAACTGAGGTTTTCACTAAAGCGGTTAGCAAAATTATGTCAAGAAACTGTTCATTTCCTTTCAGCATTTACAGTGTATGATACTTTCTTTGTAACAGCATTAAATATGTCTCTACACAATTACATAACAAATAATATCAAATTATAAAATAATTAATAATATGAAGTATAGAGTGAAAGAACATTAGTTAAGAATCAAGGTAACTATGATGCTGTAAACACTGTGGCTTCAGTTCCTGTTTCTGGCAGATAGAAAACATACATGTGGAGTGTTGTTTCAACCACAGTCACACCAAATCAAGGTCTGAGTTCTGAATGGCTGAAAATTTCTTATGTCAAACATAGGCCATGTACAAAATCAAAATCCACTTAATAGAGGAGGTAATATACTACTTATATTGGGCTTTGGTTGGGACCAGAACAACTATTCACTAGATGAGACTATATTAAAAGTGGAAACACTAAACATCAATATATGCAAGTAGTTACTTGGTTGCAGTTTCAAGTCCAGCTGTGTCCATAAGGTGGTTATACCACTCTATCTGTCTGGGCTGTGACTCCATCATCTCAGCTAATGTCACATTGAAAGGAAGAAGTCTGCTCCAGTCTCCCATGACAACATTCTATTAAAAGAAAAAAAAAATATCGACATAATATAAAAATTAAAATAAAAGTAATAAATATGAATATGAAGAAAGCAGTCTTCTGGGATTTGGCAGTCTGCTTTTACTGGTTCTCACGGTCTCTTGGCTTGCGGATTTCTTATATTTTTCTTCTACCCTGAAGATGGAGGCGATACGTTCCTCCGAAACGTCGGTTAACACCACATGTACACGGTGCCAAATCCCAGAAGAATGCTTTCTTCATAGTCACTGCCGTGAAAGCCTCAAATCTTAAATATGAATATGTTTCATGTTATCTACACCTATCACAAATTAGCCTTCAAGTGCTGCAGCTCCAAGAAAAAACGGTAATAATCCCACCTACACAGTAAACAGTATGTACTTGGCAATACTGTGATTCTGTGAGCTAACATCTATGAAAATCATTATGATTGTAATGGAACCACACATATCGTAAATTTTCTCTTTGTCACAAATGTTAATGATGGCACTGTGTAAAGACAAACATATGGTAATAATTCTGCTCCATGGAGGTTGCAATTGCAAGATATTGCATGTATGAGGTGGTATCAGAAAGTTCGCAGACTGTTATTGTTGTAACTGCCTAGATGAAAGAAGATGAGAAGAGAGGCCAAGGTCACACTTCCGAAAGTCTACTGCATCAGTCTGCTA